CTTGCCTGCTGATTGTAGACCGGATTGGAGCATACCAACAGAGTTTTGAGCAGGATTGGAATGCACCATTCTGATTTGGCTGTCATTCGGATGCAATAACTATGTACAGGTTAGTTTCCTCTTGATCTTCTGCATCCACACTACACATGTGTACAAAATTTACACCTTTTTAAAGTGTGTATATATATAGATGAAGGATCATGTGAGAATAGGAGCTAAGGTGAGAAACGTAAGAAGGGATCTGGATCCTTAGATCACTTTTAATCTCACCCCCACCCATTGTGCTTGATACGGGAATTAATCTTGTGCATCTCGGTGCATCTCATTATTGTTGATCTTCAATTAGGATTGATCCAACGGTGGAGATCCCTTCTTACCCTTCTCACCGTAACTTTCATTCTCACCCGAACCCAATCCATGTATATGTATGTATGTATGTATATGTATATATCTCTCTATATAGATGGAAAAATCCACACACTCTTCACCTTTGATGGGACTTAAACCCCTGACCTCCAGGGAGGTTGGGCTTTACCGGTAACCCGGGTACTGCTGGACCAGCAACCCTTTTGGCATTTACATTTGCTGCACATTGCTGGGATTTTGAGTGATACGGGGAGCATGCTTTTGATTTCACCCTAATCTACTTCCGTTCTGAGATACATCTTGTGTGTCTAGAGTTTTTTATTACGATCTATACCCCAACAAGGACTGTCATTTAGTTCAGTCATATATTACTCCATCCCAAAAAGGTCCACAATGAAAAATACATGGTTTAGAGATGCGTAATCACTGCACTTTTGATTAACTAAATGACAACTTTACTGATAATAATAGATGGAGTGATGATTTTCTCCATATTATGGGTAGAATTGGAAATTAGGTACTTACTTTATAAAGTGGACACTTAATATTGGAATAAACTAAAATGAAAATGTGGACACTTATTCTCGGACAAAGGGAGTATTTATTTAGAAGGGTGAAAAATGAAATGAAGGGAAACAGATCTGAACTTGATTCAAAAGTCTGAACCTTTCTCAAATTTTTTACTTCCTTTTGGTCAGAACTGCTATTGCCTTCATTTTTATAAGACTGAGTACTGCTAACTTTTGGTATCTTAGCGCCCGTTTGGTTTGTAGGATTTGGAATTGGAGTCCATTCCAATCCCGCATTCGGTTTAAAGGAAATCCCCAGGATTAAACCCTGGGATTTCAACGAAATTCCACATACATTTGATTTATAAATCCCATGGATTTCATAGATTTGTTTGTAATAATGTTTTAAAAAATGTTAAAAACATTTGTTTTGTAATATTCAATTAATAAAAGGTAATTTAATTATTTTTATAATTTGTGTTTATAATATATATATATATATATATATATATATATATATATATA